GCAACTGTCTGTCTGTCCAATAAACCGTAAAGTTTAAGGTGAAGAACAATTTTAACCTTTACAGTTTCGGAATCGCTTACAACAATGTTGACAAATCATGACTTCAAAACTATACGGTATTTTTTTTTAAACCATTTACTATCATGGTTTCAGAACTGTAAAAATGAAATTTTAATTGGTCATTTTGAAAGTTAGGTTATGTTAGGCAAAGGAAATTGGTGTTGGTCTCTGGTTGAGTTGTGTTTTATCAAGTGAGCTGTAGAATGTGACTTATTTAGTTTATCTTAGGGTGTCATCTATCGTGAGCAATAAGAAATATTAGATTTTATTGTTTTCCTTTTTTTTTTTTTTTCCTCATTTCAATTGAATGGCCTTCGAAAAAATTTTAATACAATTAATAATTTTTGCTATAAATAATGACGAAACTAAAATTAGGGGCCAGTGGAGTTCTGAAATAATTCTGATTTAAGAAAAATGTCTACTGGATTTTAGCACCAGAAAAACAGACCGGACATTTTTTTTCAAAGTAATAATAAAATTGATTGGTCAAGTATGAAATATTTAATAGTTGTGAGTTGGTCAAGGAATTACATATAGGACCAAATGATAAGCGAGCTAAGTGCAAAATGTAATACTAAACTCTAAGAATTCATGTAAATTGCCATGGAAAAGAATGCCTGAAAATTAGCGTTAACACACGAAACACTTGAAGTCTTTCAAGCCATTTTTTTACTTTTTTCCCATTAAAATATAAATTTGTGTGTGTTTTTTTTTATTTTTTTATTTTTTGATAGAAGTTTTAACATTTATTACTTAAGCGTTATAAAATGCCTAAGCATGTTTACTATGGATAACTAAAGTTAATGGTTGACTATAATAATCAAATATGAATTTAGGCTTCTCAAAACTCTCTTTATTTATTTATTTATTTTTAAATGAATAAAGGTTAAAAACAGATTGTCTATGTTAAGAATATATTCATTTCAAAGTTCCAGTATTCATTTCATTAAATTTTTTTATATAAGTACAACATCATATTAAAAATAAATATCTTTTAAGGGCTTATAACTTTTGAGGTTTGATGTCTAACATTCATGTTTATCACTAAATACTTTTTTTTAACAGTTCTGAATTCACAGCAGACGTAAATAACATAAAAAACGTATCATAAAATTAGGAACCCTACTCATATTCGAGGAAGATTAAACAAATATTCATTATGAACTAATCCCTTTTTTGCAATAATTGCGGGAAAGTTATCATTGTTTTAGAGAAAGAATTTTAGCCATGAGAACCTAACACACCATCTATAACAAAAACAAAAAAAAACAAAAACAAAAAAAAGGAATCTCAATTCTCAAAATGCCATTACACAGTAGATTATAATAGACTAAATAGTATTCATTTTAATACACTCATTGTTGTACTTGCAATTTACGAACTTTTAATCGGGATGTGATAGCTAACGAACAATGGAAACGAGTTCAACGGATTAACTCTGTTCATTGTTTTTAATCAAAAAAAAGTCAACATTTCTTCCTTAATAAATTTAATTGAATGTTTTGTTTCTGTAGGTAATTATATACGTAAAATGTGTTTTCTAATTTAAGTTAAATGAACTGAAAATTGTTTTATTTTTGGATTTTTTTTAAGCCTTTTATTTTTATTTTGAGTAGATTTAAAAAATTTTAAAACTCTATTTCGCCATTTGCACCGTCAATTAGTACTTTTCGCATCAGTATTTTCGGTATCAAATATCTTAACTAAATATTTTTCAACTTTTGTCTACCGTATCTCATTTTGTTTCGTAACCCATATTTAGTGATAGATATCAATGGGGGAAAAGTCTCTAATATTACTCTCACCTGAATTTTTTCATCCATTGATACTAATGTGATACTTTTATATCTATTGATACTTTTTTATCCTTTGATATTAATTATACATATCATATTGGTATTGATTATACATATTAATAATAGGGGCAAAAAAAGAAACTATTTTTTCCTTAGTATCAATATCTTTCGTCTCAGTATCTTCGGCATCAAATATCTTAACTAAAACATTTTTCTACTTTTATGTAACGTGGTGAAAATGGTGATACTTCGAGAATTTTTTTAAAATCTTTTATCAATCACTTGCTTTTTTTTCGTCGATATTCAGTGAACGATATCAATAGAGGAAAAGTCTTTAGTAATATTCTCCCTTGATATTTTTTCTTTCTATTGATAATAATGCATATTGATAATCGCGGCAAAATAAAGTTTTAAAAAATTTTAAAACTCTGTTTTCGTATCAATCGATTCATCAATCAATCGATTTTTCGTCTATATTAATCGATATTCAGTGAACGATATCAATAGAGGAAATGTCTTTAGAAATACTCTCCCTTGATATTTTTTCTTTCCATTGATAATAATGCATATTGATAATCGCGGCAAAATAAAGTTTTAAAAAATTTTGAAACTCGTATCAGTATTTTCGGTATCAAATATCTTAACTAAATATTTTTCAATCTATTGATATCGTAATAGATATTCAATATATCAATAGAGGAAAAGTCTTTAATTCCTACTACTCTCTCCAGATATTTTTCCTTCCTTCTTTTTTTCCATCTCTTTTTCTCTCACATTGACAGTTATCGAGATTGGTGGCTATTAACAGACTCGAAAACAGAAGAAAAAAACATTCGAAAATTCCAAAGAGGGGTGTAAGAGTGAGGACCCTAGTTCGTCTGCTGACCGATTACTATAAGCCAAAGCCGATCTTGCGACATTAATTACCACAGATTCTTGCTCACACACAGAAACATGAAGACCTTCTATCGTTTTAAAAGGGGGGTGGACCGATCATGGGGGGAGGGTCATCAAAAGTTCTTTCTAATTAATGCTTTGGCTCCGACTGAAGAATGTAGTCGTAGCGTGATGGAAAGGCCTATCTTAGGCCATTAGGCATCGCGTGTTCTAGGCCCTTTGCAGTGACAGCGGCCGTGTAAACAGGCCTAATGACAAGGTAGTATCTCCCTGCCTTGCGGGTAACCAATTAAAATAGAACTCTGCGTCGCTTCAATGCGCATACGCGTCTCCATAATCCTTTTTTATTAATGTCAACAGTTGGATTGAAAATGGTGATAGTTCGAGAATTTTTTTTTTTATCTTTTATCAATCACTTGCTTTTTTTCGTTAATATCGCTGAAATATATAGATTCAATTTTCGCTGTCCTTGCATTTAATTCGAGTGTCGCAGAAATTGCGGTAATTTTCAGGGAGGATTGAAATAATCATTTGATCGGAATTCTGCTATTCGATATATATTTTTTTCTTATTTAATGGAATTAATAAAATAAGAAATGAAATGAAAAATAAAACAAAAAAATAATAAAACAGAACTTCTTTCATTTGTATTTTTTTTAAATAATAAGCGCGTACGTAGTAAAAATATCCATTTAAAACTTAAATTTTTGTTTAAAATAATGTAGCACATGACCATACACGAGCAAGAAATAACAATGGTAAATACCTCAATTTTTTTTTATTGAAACAAATAAAAAGCTTATTCTAGAGCGTCTTCTGTAAATAATAATTACATGGCTAAGGGTTTCATGAGTTAAACGAGTTTAGAATTTGTTCAATTTGATTTATTTGTGACGCAATATTTTTTAATCAATATGTTTTATTTTTGCTTCGTATTTTACAATCTATAATAAAGCTGCATATAATATATACGAATATAATTTTATTGTACTTTATTTTATAAGGTCTTCATTTAAAATGGATTTTTTTTTTAAAATTATTAATTAATTATTTTTATTTTAATGTCTCAAGTATCTTCTTTCTTCTTTATTAGCTTTAGTTTTAGTTTTTATTTTACTTTATTTGTTAGTATTTGTCACCCAATTTTATTGACACTAATTAAAAGACTATTCCAATAAAACAGCCGATCAATCAAAAACATTTTGAATAAAAAAAAATATGTTTCACATTTAATTTATTTTTACTTCAAATTTTAAAGCTAGCATGTTCAATTATTGAATTTGATGTTTAAAAAAATTTTTTTTTTAATTTTTATAATTATTAGAAGCCAATATAGGAATCGAATTTTGCTAAAGTGAAATTAAAATCAAAATAAAATTTAAAAGATTGAAATTATGAATAGTAAACGAAAATTACACATTAAAAAAATTAAATTATAAAGTATTAGAAAAAAATATAAAAGTATGCGTGAAAAATAAATGCATTAGAAAAAAGTACTTAAAAGTATTAATATGGACTCAGCTCAAAAAGTGAGCTAGACACTGCTCAAAAAGCGTGTCTAAGAAAATGAACATAGCTCAAGAAACGTGTTTTAAAAAATGAACAAAACTCAAAAAACGTGTTGAAAATGAACATAGCTCAAGAAACATTTTGAAAAATGGGCACAGCTCAAAAAGCATGTTCAAGCAGCTCAAAAAGCATGTTTAAAAAATGGAAGCAGCTCAAAATGTATGTTTAAGAAAATGGACACAGCAAAAAATGCAACATTTAATGTTCAATTCAAATTTAACAACTAATACGAAGAATTTTATACTTACTTTTCCTTACTTTTTAAACTCAAATCCCGTCGGCCGAAGAAGCCCAGTTTATTAAATGGTGACTGGTGCATGTTAAAGTTCGCACCAACAAATGAACACTTCAGGGGTACTGATTGATCGTTTTCTGGTTCAGGTCAAAATTACGATCTGTGAATGAATAAATGGATGTATGAATGGGTCAACCCTGTAAAACGGACTGTGACAAACGAACTGTGTGTGACTGAAATCGTATTCTTAGCTATATAGATGGGGGTCACTGAAAAACAAAAAACAAAAACTCACCCTCTGCCTTAAATTCGGCTGGGTTTCTAAGCAGGCTTGCTGGTAATGGCAAGCGGGAATAGAAACAACAGCTTTTTTAAACACATAGCATAACGTTACGGGGCTAAATTTGGACTTTTATTCATCTCTGTTGCTTTTATTTTTGCAGGTAATTTAAGTCCTCTATATCTGAACACACGCCTTAATGATTCTTTACCCCAGCCAAGGATTGTCCATGACTTCTCTCCCTATGGACTTAGGCCTTACGATTTTGCTCGCCAACTTCTTACCTCACAGACAGCAGTGAATAAAATTTTAGGTAAGTTCCTTTCACTTTCAGCATTTTATTTTTATTTTTACTTTTTTAATATTTTGCAATTTAAAATTAACCCTTTTCTTATGAATGAAACAATAAGTATACCAGAAAGGTTTGAACCGTAAGCAAAAGTTTAAGTACTATCTATTTTTTTTTTAAAACGAGTCTAACAGGACTTTAATTGAATAACAATTTTGATTAAGTTCTTGTCCTTCTAATGCAGCAGGATTGAATCGATTGTGGTAACCATTGTTGCTAACCAATATGAAACAATGAACCAATGTTTGGGTAAAACATTGTTTGGGGATCGTGTGGATTTTCTAAACGTTTAAAATCTGGGAGCATTTTATTTACTCTACTAGTTCCTTTGCCATTTGGCAAAAATTTTTGAGCAAGATTTGATTTAATCGCTCTCTATCGAACTCAACTAGACAGACAGAACGAGGTGCATCTTTATGATCAAAATGTCCACTTTTTTTAAAACTTGGCATATCGATTACTTTCAGTTATGGCTTCCTCTCTATACATTTAAATGTGGTTCATAAATCACGAACTAATTTACGGATAATAAATTTATATATATTTATCATATCTTATATTTACCATAAGAATTTTATATTTTAACCACCGTTGAACAGCAGACACAATTTTTTGGGTATGCGACTATTTATGTTCAACTCCGTAGCCTTGTAATTTGAGGAGATGAGGCAAAGTAAATGCAGATTTGGTCATTTGGAGCAGTGGCAAAGAGTAAACAAGATTTTTTGAACTTTTTCAATTTAATGCAATTATTTTTATTATATAATATAAATTTCTTTAAAAATGACTTGACGTAAATTTTTTTCCGTTAATACTTTTTTTATTATAACGGTGATTATCTAACTAATACATGTACCTAATATAAAGTGATATGTTATTTATCCGAATATCCACTTTTTAAAATAAATCTCCCTCTTCGAAATTAAAATTGAAAACTAGAAAAGAACATGTGAGCTACTTTAAAAACAATTTAACCTACGTCTATTTAAGAAGAAACACGTCGTAATTTAGCTGAGAGACCCATAAAACCCACCTTAAATCCTCTATGTCGCAGTCAAACACAAATGTGCAGAGAAGATGCGACATACAGTGAATCCAAATCTGGTCATTTGGAGCAGTGACAGCGAGTGAACAAGATTGTTTGAACTTATTTTATTTAATATAATTTTTTTTATTATTTAATATAAATATTTCAAAAATGTTTTAAAGTAAATTTTTTCCGTTAATATATTTTTAATTAAACCAGTGATGTCTAATTAATACATATAATGTACAATATATTATTTATCCACTTTTTACTTTTAAAAATAGATTTCCGTCTTCGAAATTAAAATTAAAAGCTAGAAAAGAACATATGAGCCACTTTAAAAACAACGTAACCTACGTCTATTTAAGAAGAAACACGTCGCAATTTAGCTGAGAGACCCATAAAACATACCGTAATTGCTCAGTGTCGCAGTCAAACAACAAATGTGTAGAGAAGATGCGACATAAAGTGAATCCAAATCAGGTCATTTGGAGCAGTGACAACGAGTGAACAAGATAGTTTCAATATATTTTATTTAACATAATTGTTTTATTATTAAATTTATTTTTCATTATTTAATTTTTTTTATTATTCAATTTTAATTTTGTTTAAATAATTCAATGTATATTTTTTCTGCTAATATATTAACTGGTAATTATCTAACTAATGCATATAATATAGAAATGATACATTATTTATCCGAATTTTCACTTTCAAAAATAAATCTCCCTTTTCGAAATCAAAATTAAAAACTAGAAAAGAACATGTGAGCCACTTTAAAAACAATTTAACCTACGTCTATTTAAGAAGAAACACGTCGTAATTTAGCTGAGAGACCCATAAAACATACCATAATTGCTCAGTGTCGCAGTCAAACAACAAATGTGCAGAGAGAAGCGGTGGCATAAAGTGAATGCAAATCTGGAGGTCGGTTAAAGAGGTGGGCGAACAACCGTCTCAAAATGAAGACCGCCTTTTTCCTTTCAGCTAATAACGAGTCTTAGACTCTTTTTTTGTGAGCTGCCGTATTACTCATTCGCAATAAATGATCCTGCAAACTCATTAATCGAACACTAGGTAAAGCTATTACCATAAAGATACATAGTCTGTGTGTTACACAATCCTATGGGATATGTTTTGATAGATGAAACGAAAGTATAATCGCTGGTGTGGTTTGTATTTTTTTATTTTTTAATAGCGATAGAATGACATCTTTGGGAACTGGGGATTGATTTGGAAATTCGATGGAGGAAATTTTTAAGGAGGTTCTTTACAATCCATCTAGTTTTTTATCGCTTGAAAAAAAGAGATTTTTTTGGGTCTAGGTGTCTCAGTAAGTTGAGAACCTCTAAGTTAAGTGTCATACTTTTTATGTAATATTAAATCTTTCTCGAGTCTTGTTTTCATTATAAAAAATAAAAAAATAATAATATTTAACAATTTTCTTACAATCAATCCTGCTTTTCGCGAATCGAAAAAAAAGGATGTTTTCTGGTCTAGGTATCTCAATAAGTTGAGAACCTCTAAGTTAAGCGTCATACTTTTTATGTAATGTTAAATCTTTCTTGGGTCTTGTTTTCATAATAAATAAAAAAAAAGTGTATAAATTTTTCGAATTGAATTGAAAATTATTAAAGCTGTTTTTTGAAGACTCGGTCGTCTCATAAAATATAACTGTTTTCTTACAATCCATTCTGTTTTTCGCGGATCGGAAAAAAAAGATGTTTTCTGGTCTAGGTGTCTCAGTAAGTTGAGAACCACGGTAAGTTACGGCGTCTTATTTTCCATATGGTGGTATTAAATCTGGCAGCACTAAGTCTTATTTTCACTATAAATAAGATTTTTTTTTAAATTTTAAATTGGCAGACACGCAAATGAAGATTCAGTTCAAAATGATTAAGGCTGTTTTAAGAAGGTTCGATCGTTGTCGCATAAATTGCTCTTTTCTTACCATTCATCCTGTTTTTCTTGGATCGGAAAGAATGTTTTCTTCTCCTCTAAAAAAATTATAGTAGAGCTTTTAAAATATTTGATTTGATTGAAATATATTGTAATAGCTTTTAAAATTTACTTGATTGCAAACTTCATTCGCTTCAAAAATATACAAACGGGACATAACAGTCAACGTATTTCTTGTCCTCATAAATAGGCGTTCATTTTCAAGATTTGCCAGACGTGAAGAAACAAAAGTCATTTGAAATATAAAACGTAAAATCGCCTATTACGAAAACAAAGATGAGAAACAAAACTAGGAAGAAAAAAAACAGTAGTCGAGAGAGGAAAAAAAGATGAAAAACAAAACACGAAATTTTTTTTCTAGTTTTGTTTATTATCATTATTTCTTCCATTTTTCGTTGCCAACTTTACGTTTTATATTTCAAATCACTTTTGTTTCTTCTCGCCTGGCAAGTCTTCAAAACGGGCGCTTATTTATGAGCGCTTGAAACATGTCGACGGTTATTTCTAATTTGTATATTTTTTAAACAAATGAAGTTTTTAATCCATATCTTACCACTTCAGTTTATTGAGATTATTTTTTTAATTTAAGTTATTTATACGTTCTAAAATCCAGATAATTCCTTACTGCAGGATAATATAGTTTGTTTGTTTAGATAGTATAGTATGTTTTCTTAATTATAGCTTTATCTCAACTGTAATAGGCTGTGGTTCTTTTCCAGAGTTTCCAATTTTTTGCCCCTTTTTTTAGTTGATATTAAATCTTGAGATTTATTTATTTGAAACAATAAAATACAGTATTCCTCTGGAATAAAACAAATTCTAATGGCAAATCTTGCCAAAATAAATTTATCACCCATAAATTATTTCCCGATTTAGGAGGTACATGAATATCACATTTTCATCAAAAGTACTTTACAAAAATAGAATGTAACTTTTTTTCTTTAATTTAAAGAGAATGTAATTTAAGTAAATATTTTAAATATCAATAGAAGAAATCCATCATTCATAAATTAATTTGTGATTTATAAACTACATTCATTGTAATATCACTCTTTCATAAAAAAAAATATTTTGCAATAATCGAATGCAAATTTTGAAACTGTTTGCAAGAAATATCATTTGGGTAACATTGTTTAATATCAAATCATAATAATAGTATTATGATTTAATCATACTCTTATTATTAAGTTGATTTATCCGTGTTCATAAATTCATTCATGTTTTATAAGATGAAGTCACAGTGGCAACACAGTTTCATTTAAAATATGTTATGTAAATCAAATACATTTTTGAAATTCGCCGGCAAAAAACTCCATTTAGGTAACTATTGCTTAATATCAATAGTTTTTTAAAAGTAAATATTATTACAATAATTTTAATTACATTTATAAGTTCATTCATGTTTCATACATGCCCGTAAAATCACATTTTTATTAAAAGTTCTTTAAAAAAATCTAATTTAAATAAATACGTTAATATCCTTATTTTTTTGCTTATTTTTTTTTACGTGTATCGAAGATTTTAACGGTAAATTAAAATATATAAATCCACAGTCATGAATTCATTCATGTTTTATAAAATGCATTCACAGTTATACCTCATTATTATTAAAAATTGAAAGTGCGAATTTCAATTTTAAAAAAAAATATATGCTAAAATTAAACATTTCTAAAATAAATCTATTCATAAACTCATTCTTTATATGCTACATTAACAGGACGTTTTCATTAAAAACATCTTACGAAAATGGAATCCATATTTTAAAGCAGTTTGCAGAAAATCTCATTCAAACAATCATTGTTTAATACCAATCCTTATGAATAGAATTACATCTAATAACAAACATTGTTCGGATAAATTCATCCATCAATACTAACTCCTCATTGTTGAAGCCAAAACGAGATAGTCATTAGTAGATTATTTACTCATTTTCAATGCAATTAAATGACAATAAAAAATGCTCTTGATTCGCTTATTG